AAACCCCCCACCACCGCCTCGCCCACCCACCCACACACAAACATTCAAACAGAAAGAAAAGAAATATACACTACACATTGGGAGAATTACAACTGGTATTGGTAAATGTATCTTTATTATTAAAATCTGTTTTAGTAAGTAGCCCTATTTCAACTGAAAAAAGAAAGTGTAGATTAATACTTTACCAAAGATAAAAGAAAATGTTTTCGGAGGTTCATTTATATAGAGATAAGATAACTGATTGAATAATCCAGCTTTCTCTATGATGCAAAGCAGAAAAATGTCAGGTCCGCTCGGCGGCCGCTGCCTCTCCTTCGTTTTTCTCTCCTCTGCTCTCTCTATCCTGTGGGCTCTGCACCTCAGCTGTGTTGCATTCCAGTAATTAGCAACTGGTTTGTCGCTGCACACAGCTGGGGTGCATCCCGATGATTACTTTTTCCTCCCTCTTGATCGGGCAGACGCTCCGCCGTCGCCGGATCATTGCGACTCGCAACTTGTTATGGACAATACTTGATTGATTGATTGATTGATTTATTCTTTCAAACATGTAGAACAGAACAGAACAATGAACAAATGAACTTACCCTGTGTAAGTTTAAAGTGTTATGTTTGACCCGCATGTTTAGACACTACGCTGACAGTTCCTGTGCGTTTTGGCTTGATCTATTCACGCTATTCTGCGGTTGGTTATATGTCCTTCTGTCGTCCACGCTGACAGTCTCTGTGCGGTGGATTATATTGTGTACGTTGGTTCTTTTGTTCGCCTGTCCGTCCACATCCTCTGTTATCCCAGTTCCTGCCATCAGTGTATGTGTACCTGTTCGTCCTGGTCTCCTTAGTTGTCCTTCCCTTATTGTAAGTATTATGGACCCTGTTATGTTGTCACTTTGTTGTTATTTTACATTAAACCTCCCTTTTTGTACTAGCACCTGGGTCGGCTATCTTGAGTCCTACCCCTAGTTCTCCCTCACCCTCCTGGTAAGGGGGAGTGACCATAACAAAAATCAATTTCTGCATTTTATTTATTACTGAAGTGGTTAGAAAATTTAGAAAATATATTGGCATTGTAATATGATAATAAACCCTGTAAAAAGAAACCCAGAGAAAGTGTGTGAATGTTTTCATTTATAGTCCAACTTCTTCCTTTTAAAACTTGAACAATGTGCACTTTTTCAAAACATGTGCATTTTATTCCCTTTAAAATAAGTGTTTGAATGTTATGCAAGTGCAACAAAGAGTCTTTAAGTCCCTGCACAGAATTCCAGCCGAAGATGCAAATAGATACTGTTCACATAAGCAAAGTCTAAAAGCGAAGCTCATTTGCAGGTCATTTGTTTCATCCTTCAGTCTTTTGGAGTGCATCCTTGTCTCTTTCTTTGGCAAACTCTTGCAGTATTGTGTGGGACAGCTTTACAGTGCAACCCTGCCAGACCAGTCAGAACCAGTGAACAGAATAATGTCATTGTCAATAACTAACCCTTTTTATTTTGCCTTTACATACGACTACATGAACACATGCAGGTCAAATTGATCTACAAACATCAATGTATACAAATTCAGTACAGACCTTCCACTACAGATCAGGGGACAGACACATTTTACACTTAAAATCAGGACACTAATGAATTCCAGGGATAAAAGAGAAGGAAATCAGTATTTTAGTCGACTGAAAATTGGTCCAAATGACTCATAGCAGGAGGGAAAATGAAAAGTTTGACTTTTAAAGTTGTACAAATCAAAAGTGTTACATGGGAACTGCTACAGTAAATATTCACAGCTGTAGCTCTTCCAAAGGCTCAAAGTAAGAGTGTGATGACGGATGAAGATACCAGCAGGAGGATGATACTGGGACCAGTAGGTATGGCGCTGTTGCACAGGTCCCCCTCACAGCAAGCTATGGCGCCTCCACATGTTATGCTATTCTGGCAGCCTTTGGTGACCACATTGTAACCTGCCAAAAACAAGGGGAAAAACTCCCAGAACTCAGTTTATAAAACGCATCATAGCCACCAGGCACTCAGTGCAGCAACATATTGCATCAGCTGCCTGAGGACTGATTTTGTTGTGTGCTTAGAATTTCCAGTATTAGAAATATTGAATGTGGAAAAACAACTTACCTTCTACCCTCAAAGAGTAACAGCGGTTGAAGATGAAAGAACAAGATGTGGTGTCTGTGCAGGAATGTGGGTCAGCAGCTGTGCATGTGTAGCATCTTAAGCCACATGCTATATAGAAACACGGAACACAGTGGTTCAACAGGTGGTACACACATTAAATCTCGTCATGTTAGTCTTTTTTTTAACACAGAGTTTATGTTGTGAGTACTTTACAGGAAGACACTATAATTGACACCTCAGAAATGTTTCCTGTTGGACATGAGATGGAAAGTTCACAGAAAGTGAACAATAAAACAATAGTGAGTACTTTTTAAATAATCTTAATCTTTTTAAATAAAAAGCCTGTTCAGTATGTAATGAAAGTATTTAGCCCTATTATTACTGAGCATAAAATAAATAGTGTTACATGATATAGTCTACTTATATATATATATATTTTTTTAACATTTTTTGGGCTATTTATTTCTATGAGATAGCCAAATAGAGTTGTGACAATAAATGAGTGGAGGCTAAACAAATAACTAAGTGGTATCAAACGTCTCATTTAGCGATCAAGTATAGGCTGTTGCTCAAAATGTCAAACGAATCTATTTCTCCTGACTTTCTAACACTCCTTTCCAATTCAGCTTTTACACTTACCTTTAAACATCGACGCATTTCTTTAAGCCAGTGTTCAATTAAAGCACATAACTACACTTTTCTTACCTGTAGATAAAGTCATAATCAGGATCAGAGCTGAAAAAAGCTGCATCATGAACGTAGAGAAAAACAAAATTACTGCCGTGAGAGAAACTGGAGAGGAAGTGCCCAACTTCCCAGTTTCTTTCTGAACTTGAAGATTTGCATTTCGCCACAAAGCCTCTTCTCTAAGTGCCCTGAATAACGTCGGCCCTCAAGTGACCGCATTACCCCTGAAACAACCGTGTAGATGAGCCTTTTTGGAAGACATGCACTAATACCGATACCAGCATGGGCTCCGATAATGCCCTCTAATCGTAGGTAGCCTTCATATAAAAGCTGGCCAGTATAAACTACCAGTTTGAGGCACCATGAGGTTAACCTCACGTCCTGACTGGCATTTGCGTGCTACATCCATCTGGTGCAGCTGATTGTAGAGAAGATGGAAACAAATGTCAGCTGTATATGAAAAGTTTTTGAATTCATGTAAACTTGAAGGCTGAGAGCGAGCAGCTCGTGTTTGCAGCAACAGATAAAGATCATTTATTTTCCTGTTATTATCGATCCATGAATCCTCTGCCAAATATCGGAACTTGTTAAAACTCGAATGTGTGATTTTACTGGGGCACAGCTGATCAATATTGGGACACGTGCTGCAGTAAAAGGGGTGCACAGTCAGTTTAACATAAGGTCCTGCACAGTTACAGTTAGAAAATAAACACGATCTCATAAAAATAAATTTTTAAAGGTCTATAAAATCACTGCATTTTGTGGCCATTGTTTACTTAGGGAAATTTGTCATAGCCTCAGTGTTGCAGCATCACTTCTCAACTCCAAGCATGCTTAAAAGCATCCTCACAATCATCATAACTTAAAAACACAAATTAAACACCAATAAAACCCATACCATGTATAAAAAAATAACAGATTAATAATGCAATAGTACTGCAGATTCCATCAGAATACTGCACACTGAACATAAAATGAACATGATGAGTATGAGAGGGATAATTTGTCTGATAAACACAAACATCAGTCTCTTTTCTGCACCATAGAGTTTATGTGTTCTTAAAGAGTACACTAAGTGCCGGAGCTGAGAATAAAAGCTTTCAACATGAGCTGGCCAGGTAGGTTCATCTGGATTGTAGAGGCTATCGGTTTTACACTGCATAGTGAAATCTGAGGTAGAAATCATTCCATTATTTAGGTTTCCTAACATCATCTATAGCAGTGATTCGCCTTTTGCTTGGTTCCGCTCAGAGAACGGAAATAGATTAGTAAGTTTCAGAATAAAAGCAAACAGGATGATGTAGCATGATGAAGTGATGCTGAGAAGAAAATGTGTTCCAACCTGGCACTTGAATATTTCTCTCAGAGAATCCAGACCGAACTAATTAACATAATACCGGGTCGCTAAACCATGACATTGCATTTTATCTGAATGTTTTGGAGGCAACGTTTTATTTCCTGTAGTAGGTTATTTAGATAAATGCAGTTTCAGAAAATGAAAAGGTAAGAAAATAAATACATAAAATGTCTTACTTCAGTTCGCACTGTCTGTGTATAAACAAGCGAAAGGCTACGACAAAGTTACATTTAATTTTGAAAAATCGAAAACCTTCTTCTTCTTCTGTTGTTTATTGGCGGGTGGCAAACAGCTCTAACCGGAAACCTTGTTATGTTTGACGACATTTACGCGCCTCTGTGATGTCAGCGTAGGCGCCGCTATGTTTTGGAAAGCCGGGTTACTGAGCTAAAGCTAAAGCTAAACATTAGTATCAAACTGTTTAGCTTCGAGTGTGCACAGATTCCTACACAAATTTTCACAATGCTTTTAACATAATAGCAAATAAAAACATGCCGAAGTCTCTGAAAAAGTCCTGCACCACTCAGACGTCCATTAGCAGGTACTTTGGAGGACTGAGCAGCAGCAGTGCCTCTAACACTCAGTGTGGGATCAACCGAAGTCCTGCTGAGCAGCAGCTTTCAAGAAGGAAGGTGAGGTGTGCGTCATTGAATACATCACAAACGCATGCTTAAGTTAGTGCTTAAATCAGGGCCATCAGCTGAACCTGAGCTGCTTCTGTCCTGCAGCAGAAACATTCTTCTGGTAATGATAGTGGATTGCCAACAAAACGAGCCAAGCTTTCTCCACAAGATCAACGGGTGGAGGATCAGCACCGTGAACCTGCAGCTTGTCAGAACATTAATGGTGAGTGTGTGTGTATCTCAGACTGAAAATCCATCCATATCTTCTCAACACTCATACAGGTCACCCACGCTTCACCCATGTCCAGCTTTCAAAGAACATCACATTTCTCCAAACAGCATGTGAAGTAATCATGAATGGATTATGAAACAATCCCACCCCCACCCCCACCCCAAGCCCTACATAGGAGCCTCAGACAGACACAAGTCATGTTGTTTGTAGTTGTTTTGTGTGCGTTGTCTTTGTGGTTTAGTCTTTTGTAGTAGTCTTTGTATGTCTTTGTAGCCATTACACCTCGTTATACAAATTTTGTTATTAATGTAAATTTGCTTTTTTTATTGTCATTTTTCGTGTTTGGTAGTAGTTTTGTCTTTTTATAGTCCTTCTTTCTGTCTTTATGGTTGTTTTGTGTCTTTGTTCTGTCTTTTGTCTGAGCTCTGTGACTTCAAAATCATACAGAGGCACAAGCCCAAGAGCCCCCTAACCTCCTGGACCCCTGGGCCTGTGTTATCGATCCATGGCAGTAATGTTAAATTCTTATGTTAGTTTGAGTAGTTTTTGAAAAATATGAAAAGGGTCTGTTCATGTTTTTAGACAGTGCTAATGTGGCATAGATGAAAGACAGGAGCAAATTTCCCTGAATGCATCCATGTGAAGATTATGTATGAAAAGAAAAAGAATAAAATATTTACATTTTCTATTGTTTTCCTTGAGTTTATGTACCTAAACTGTATTTTTCTGCCTACAGATTCAAAGCTAACATTGAGTAAAGCAGCTGGTGGCCTCTGTTCCTCCACCTTGGAGAAGCTGAAAGGCTTCAGCTCTTTGGCTGAGCCCGGTGTCAGGCACAGTGACTCTCAGAGGAAAGAAAAGACAGATAGTAGTGTCAGTAACATCTGTGACCAAGGAAGCAGCGTTTGGCCTCCTCAGGATGTTACAGATCATCACAGCAATAGAATCAGACTTCAAGAGATAGAGGAGGAGTGTGAGGATGAAGAGGAGGAGGTCAAAAAAACAAATAATTCAGGGCTGACTGCTACAAAACAGGTACCCAGTATAAGCATTGACTCACATCACTGTCACTATAGTGTGTTTTGAACAGCTGCATCAATGTTTAAGCCTGCTAAAGTGCCTCTGAGCAAGATAGGGCTGCAAGATTATGCCAGAAATCATAATCACAATCATCTTAGTCAATACTGAGATCACGATTCTTGAACATGATTACACCTTGACTTTGAAAACATCATGCCCTGGTTGAACTTTAAAAAACATTAGCCTTTTAACAGTAGAGTTTCTTTAAATATGATTCAGCTGAAAAACAGATTATTTCCTCTGTGTAATTGTGATTGACAGTTCAGAGTAAATTACTTGGGCTTTTACCCTGATTTACAAATAAAACTTTGCTACTTCAGGTTAACAACACGGCCGCATCTGTCTCTCTCACTTTCTTTTAACAGCAAGGCTACATACAGTCATCTTTTCATCTTAACTTGTTCATAACAATTAGCTATTAGCATAACAAGCTTGCTATGGTTAACACACTGCATGATGTAGTGTGAGCAAAGCTGATACTATCACATCTTTTCAAGTTCATGCTAATTTAGTGGGGGTTTTGATAGACTACGCAATGACGTTTTGCTTGCAGGGTTTTATCGCACATATAATGAAAGGGAGTTGTCAACTCGAATGTGTCTTGGACTCCAATGGGCGACTCAGTCTAACACATTGCTCCAAAATCTCCCATAGGTGTTCAGTGGAAGAGACCTTTGATTCTTCAGGTTTTTTCTTTAGTTTGTTCCCCGTCAATATTATTATTTGTGTAAGTAACAAGATGTTCCTGTACAGCAATGTCCATAATATGTTTGTGGTAATTTAGAAACAGCCTATGTACATACTGGGGTCTGTTAAAAAAAATAACAAATCTTAGGGATCTATATTAAAATCTTTGTTTGTTATTTGTTTTTGCATGACTAGGGTGACTTTCAGGCAGAAGAGTGAAACTGTTGGTTGCTGGTAATCTAGTTTTTTTTGTTTTGTTTTGTTTTGTTTTTTCCTCAGGAGTTCCTCTTGTCTCAGTTTGCAGTGTCAGCAGGAGGAGGAGGAGGAAGGGTTCCAGAGAAGAGTCCTCCATCAGGCTGTAGCGTACCCTCCAGACGCTCAAAGAGCATATACACTCCTCTGGAGCAGCAGGTCATCCAGCTGAAACAGCAGCATAAGGATGCCTTGTTGGCTGTGGAGTGTGGTTACAAGTACCGGTTCTTTGGAGAGGATGCAGAGGTGAGAACCAAAAGGCATCTGTGTTAATAAGGCAAGAAGGAAAGGAACAGTGTCAGGGCAAAAAAATGTAACCTAAGTCATTTCACTGTCAGTTAATTTACATTACATCCTATTCTTTTTATTTTATTTATAAATTATTATTGTAGTGGATAGAGAGCAACTTTTTTTTTATTTGTCAATGCACAGGTCAAAAATGTACCTTGTATGCCAGCACGTTATTCTAAATGTTAATTTTTGTATGTACTACTTTCAGAGCAAAAACTAATTTTAAAAAGCTTGAGAAAATCCCTGGAGTTTTGAGTTTGAATGATTGAGAACACTCAGTAGGTCTCAGTTCCCTTTAGGGCAGCACAATGTTTTCTTTGTGTTTGGAACAGATCGCTGCTAAAGAGCTGAATATCATCTGTCATCTGGATCACAACTTCATGACGTGCAGCATCCCCACACACCGTTTGTTTGTTCATGTCAGGCGGCTGGTGTCCCATGGACACAAGGTGTGACATGCATCTTGCATATAGTTCTGCATTTAGAAGTCCAAGCTGTTTAGACTCACATTTCTACATTATTGTGTTTAACTTCTAGGTTGGTGTGGTTAAGCAGACAGAGACGTCTGCGATCAAGGCTTCAGGGGCCAATAGGAATGCTCTGTTCACCCGCCAGCTCAGTGCACTATACACTAAGTCTACTCTGGTGGGAGAGGGTATCCTTATAGACCTCAAATATATGTGTGTCAGTAAAACTAATTTTTGTATCTCTGTTTGTAAAGCTATGTCCTTGACAGTTTTTTTTTGAGATGTAAACCCAGTGTGCAGACTGGGTGATGTGGAAGAGGGGGCCAGTGGTGATGCGGTGTTGGACCCTCCTGACAGCTTCTTGCTGTGTATCAGTGAAAACTGGGACAAACTGAAGAAGCAGCTCACTGTAGGGCTGGTGGTGAGTCTGATCAGTGCCACTTCACTGTATTAGAGACTGATATTCCCATTTTGTCAGTTTAGAGCTATTAAACTTCATTTCTAGAAGCATATTTCATAACAGAATATTGTATCTGTGTCATTACAGGCCTGATAAGGGCTGTAAAAGAAAATGGCTCATTAACATTTTTAATGTGTTAGTTTTCTGCACCAGAATTATTTTATTGTATCTTAACACGCACCCTCAGTGTTTTCATGTTTTTAAAAGTAGCCTCAACTATGAAAATCATATTTTCCTCGTGCTGACTGCTTTATCTCTTTATGGTGCAGCTACAACAAGGTGGACTTTGAACACAAGCTGTTCTTCTTATATATATAATCTAATTTAGAAGAGGTGCATCTCCATGTGATTTTGGAAGACCTACATTGATAATGAAAAACAGTTTGAGTCTTTATTATATCAACATTGTGAAGGTATTATTTCATAGCGATATAGTGTTGCCCCCTGAGTTTCATGCCAAGATATCAAACACCACAGGAAAAACCATTTCCATGCATATTGTTAAGTCTCCAGCATGTGCATGTGGTTTTGTATGAAGGCAGTGCAGCCCAGCACAGGAGACGTGTTCCTGGACTGTTTCCCTGATGGTCCATCTCGCTCTGAGCTGGAGGGTCGTATCCTAAAGATCAACCCCGTGGAGATCCTTGTGCCCTCTGACCTCTCAGAACAAACCCACCGACTCCTGCAGAGCATCACCAATGCCAGGTAAACTACTGTCATGGCACTAGGGGGGACTCTGTACCTGTACTGAAGTGTTGAACTGTGCTGCAAAGTGTGTGTTTGTGAGTTTAGTTTATTTCATTGTGAGGGATTGTGCTTAGAGTTCCCCAGGCAGGTAAGACAGTGCTTTGTCTGGAGGTCTTGGGGCTAAGTCTGTGTTTGGAAATCAAAGCAGACTCATAGAGAGGTGATGTGATAATGGCCCTCAGCACCTTGGGCACCGCCGCAGGGCTAAACAGGATCCAAGCAGGGGTTATATGTATATTTTAAAGGTTCAAGTACCAAGAGAAACAATTGTTAGATGATGTACTAACTGTATTTAATTGGCCAAATGTTTAGAGATGGTGTTATAAAGGTTAGTTGATAAATTGTAGTAAATAAAACATGGACCTGGAGGCTTTATTGTTAAGTTATGCATTTGTGAGCCTTTAGAGTTGTTTATCTGGGGTAAAAAGTCACACGAGATGGCACAAACCATAAACATATAAGGGTATAAAAGATGTATCCTGATTTTACAATGCACATTACATTTGCATCTACCAGTAATTAGTTGCTCTTACTTGGAGAAATGGTGTGAAGGTATTTACATTAATATTATCAATGCTGTAATGGAATAATACTGCAAAGCTTGCCCATTTAAAAGGTAACATCATTGGTTTTGATAGAAACCAGGAAGTGGTCAAATCATTCCCACAATCATGCTGCACAACAGGATATTGTCAATGTTTATGTTGGACCGCAAGTTTCAGCTGAATTTCTGACACGAAAGCAGACTTCTGTGTAATGCAAACAGGTTGCTGTTTAAACCACAAGAAGAAAAAGTGTACAGCATTTCCTTGTTTGTTGGTCGACTGACAGCACTGCCAGCAACAGTGACGTTGAATTGCTGTATTCCAGAAACCTGTTGTTTCCCACTGTGTCGCTGTTGGGCTCATCTTTGCTGACAGTGTGCACACAGCATGTTCACGCCAGTGGGGACGGGGTCCTCTGAAGACTGCCTGTAATTGCATTATGCTGTGAAAATGAAACAAAGAAGTGGGAGGGAGTGGAGTGGATTAGATTAGAAGGGGATGGTTGAATAATAGGGAGTGATGGCTGCTAATTTTTGCCTCTGTCGTTTCCTTGACGGTGCATATTGGTCATTTAACCTTTTTTTTTATTTTTAGTGGCTATTTTCTTTCCTTTTTTACTTTTTCTCTCAGTTTAGATTTAAATCCGTAAAACATCATTTATTTATCATTTATTATCATCCCTCTCTTTGTTTGTCTTTCCCCCTTCAGCTGTAAGTGTTGAGTGATTATGGTAGAGCTGGGCCTGTAAAGGCCAGTCCAGTTATTGTGTTTGAACAGCACTACTCTCTAGTGTTGGGCTCATCAGAGACAGCACTTCTCAGTTTGCAGCCTGTGTTTTTACACATACAGAACAGCTTTGTCTGTTCAGCATAGACAGAACATTTTTCTCATGAATATACAAAATTTATAGTCAGCAATGCCAGGCTATGATATCCGAATTGACACTTGTTAATATCGGAGTAACTCCAACCATATTACAGCCTCTGTGTCTCTGTGGTGGGCTGACGAGATGTGCCCCCTGGCAATGGGATGCGTCCGTGTCCGTGGAGCAGCAGGTAATTGGTCCCTGGGAGGTTGGTTGTAGCTAGGTGTGGTATTGGATGCTTTACTCATCCACAGCCTGGAGTCATGAGTCAGAATCAGAGCAACTGAAAAAGCTCACTGGCTGATGTTGTCAACACACATGCTGTCAACTTCTCACTTTTCCAAAGACTGTAAGTCAATGACTGACACTCTTGAAAGTTAATTTTATAACCTGGGCACATGGAAAGACAGCAGTCGTGCGTCAGGATAGAGCTACACAAGTACACACACACACATGAAAATCACAAGCTATGTCATCTGTGGTGTGTGTGTGTGTAGGTTTAAATGGCTTCTCTCAGAGCTTTGTATTCACCCTGCAGCAACAGACATTAAACAGATGATCTAATCTATTGTGCACATTAACCTCTGATCCCCGGGTGGCAACATCTTTGATTTAACCTTTAGCTGTCCCTGCTTTTGATTGATTGTCGCCATGACAGTGTTTGAAAAAAAAAAATAGACAAAAAAAGCCTCATTGTCAAAAAAGCATTTGCCTCTTGACATCAGCAGTGATGAACTACAGCCTAATTACAGTGTAGTGTTGAAAAATTGCATTTTATAAATATTACCAGAAGCGTCTCTTTCCGGAAACCATATGAACAGTTTTAATGAGAACTGCTTTGAGACTCTTGGCAGCATGTTCTGCTGTGTAACAAAGATACTGTTTTTGGAAAGAGACGCTGGTGCTGACATGTGGCCGTGCTAGTTGCTCAGTGGATGGCAATGTTACTCTGTCTGCCACTTTAGTCCATTCTGAAATATTTCAACAACTACTGAAAATGTTGGGGGTTTATGATCTAATACCTGGAAATACTTGACTATACTGCTGTGTAAAAATCTAGTGGATTTCCCATCAGCCTCAGCTGAACTCAAAACCCTGGTCAGTTAGGGTTAGGGTTTGTTATAAACCTTAACCAGCACGAAGCTTTGTAGTTTCCTGTGTACCTCAAACCAGGTTGAGACTTCCTAAAGCTCGGTGCTGTCAGCGTTTACCAGAAACACTGCACAGCTGCACTGCGCCCCTCTATCCCTGGATCAATATCTACAGTTGTCCCTATTCTAAACCTCCTATATGGTTGAGATGACTGGTTAAATGATTAATGGTCCTACTTGCACTGCTAGCATAATAAAACTATTGATCACTTTGATACAATCTTTGCTCCTTGTTCGACCAGAAGCTGAAGTGAAAGATGAGGTTACTTCCATGTGTATGTGTCTGTGTGTGTGTGTCTATGAATGAGCATTAGGAAGCGGAAGAAAGAAAATGCTCCAGCATTCTGCTCAGAACCACACGTTTGCCTTGGTTGCCCTGGCAACAGTAGCACGGACAAAGAAGCCGAGTCCTTGAAAGCAGAAATGCCGAGAGAGTGAATGGAGCAAGAGGGAGATTCAGGGAAATGGCGTGTTCGTGTGTGCGTGACCGAGGTTTGCATGTGTGTATACTTGTGTGGCCAGCGGTGTGAGGACCAATTTGAATTTTATACCTTGAGAGTGAGGACATTTTGAGCTGTCCTCACTGTTTCATGCACCATCAAAGGGCTAAGACCTGGTTTTAGGGTTAAGGTAAAAGCTAGAGTAAAGGGCTAGGGAATGTATTACATCAACGGGACTCCTCACTTAGATAGCTGTACAAGAGCTGTGTGTGCGTGTGTATCCATATAGTCTAGTTGAACAGAAGGACAGGTGGAACTCAAAATGCTGCTGTCTCCAATTGTTTGCACAGAAAGAAAAGTGATCAGGTATCAGATGTTGTGTCTCACTTGTCTGTCTGTACAGTCACAAGCACTGCTGACCTCCTGAGTGAATGCTGTCATGTCGTTCCCCTCCAGTGCTCGGGCTGATGACCGAGCGAGAGTTGAGAAGCGGGTCAGTGCTCAGTTTGAGTTCGCCTCTGCTATGAACACAGTCACCGAGTTCTACAGCCACACCCAGGAGAAAGGTGTGTTCGTCTGTGCCACTCTGTGCCTCTATTCTTTAGTTTCATGGCTACCCAAACATTCAGTTATGGGTTTTGTCTAGTGAGTGGACCTGTGACTCACTGCTGTTCTTTATCTGCAATAATGTGGCATGATGTGTGTGTGTGTGTGTGTGTATGTGTGTGTCCTCCAGGCTCTCGCTGTCTGTCGAGCGTGGCTTCCTTGGAGAGTCCTCTTATCTGCTGTCTGGGCCCGCTCATCCAGTACCTCCAAGAATTCAGCTTGGAGCGAGTTTTGAAGAGTAAAAGGTACACACAGACCCACATACAGAACCAAAAGCGTACGCTCACAAACCCAGGCTACAAGCTTCATCGTTATCAGAGGTTCCCACTGGTCAGTGAATTCTTCAGAGAACGGGGAATTTTGAGAGTTGGGCTTCAGTCAGGAACATGATGGAATTTACACATTGCCCTACTGCTTCCTTTACATTTGTGTTGCCTTAAATGCAGCATTTATGTCTGTTGTTTCTCCATTTGCAACCCTCAGAGTTGAAGAAACCAGTTTTCAGTGCTAGAACTGCCTTGATGTCTGTTAAGGACAGAATCACAGTCCTCACATTTAAAAGCTTTTCTCTGTGAGCAAACTTATTTATATTCCTGTCTTTTTAAAGAGTAAAGTGGTGATTACTGTCGGCTTTGTAGCTTGCAGAATTTAGATTCAGAAAGCATGTGACATTTATGAAAATGATCGCTACCTCTAGTTTTATGTTTATGTTTTTATCCGTGTTTTGAGTAACAATTTCCAACATTATATATAAGTAAGTGTTATTATAGAGGTTGTAAGAGAACTCACTTTTTCTTCAGTGCCTGCTCGGCCTGCTGCCCTCCAGAAGGAGATACAGGAGCATCAAAATTTCTGTCCACGTTTTTCCAAATAACAAGTCCAAAAATTAAATTAAACATACAATACTATCCAACATGCAATACCTTCAGTATTTCATATTTGCTTTTATTATGACATCCTAAATACCTGTTTTTGGGGGTGTTACTTGTTCCTGTTTTTACTTATTTGATATTATTCAGTGCACCTTAGATGATGCACTTTCATTTTCATGGTATAGGTGACTGTGCAAAGACAATAAATCTTATCTTGTACAAGTTGTTTAGTCACAGTGATTTGAGCTATGAAAAGTTATGGAGAAGTTGTGAAATCATCATGTTGTAAAACCTCTTCCTTTAAAAAAAAAAATTATGGTTTTCACATGAGCCAGTTGTATTGTAATAATATTTTGTTCTCTGTGCAGCTCATTTCAGCGTCTGTCATGTGAAACAGGTGGGATGATCCTCAGTGCTGCCACCCTCAGGAACCTGGAAATCCTCAGCAATCAGGTAAAAGCACATCTCAGCTGGCAGAGTGATCAAACATAACAAAGGGGTGAGGTCTGTCTGGATGACAAATGGTTTACACTACACTGTACACGATAACCATCTGTTGTACAGTATACTGATCAAACAAACGTCTGCAGTTTGTCTTTAGATTTGGCCAAAGTTAGCTTAAGGAAGCGTTATGTGTCTTTTATTTTTACAAAAAAAGAAGCAGTTTGACTCTTAATAATGTGCGGTTTATTATTTCATAGAATTGGGTGTTTCATTTATTTATTTTTTTCATGTATTTCAAATGTGCCACCGCTGTCTGAGTCTGTGCCCCAGCCTGGCCACCCCATCCAAATGTTTCCCCTGTATGGTGCATATCACAGCAACTGCCCAACTTGGACAAAACAGCTTATGGTCGTAGTTGCAGTGTAGAGTGCAATGGTTTAAGGAATGAGTTAAAAAGATGATAGTGACTAGTCAGGGTTTCATGGGTGATGATTCAAAAGTTCAGCATGACTCTGCTGCTATGGCATGAGTGTCAAATAGACAACATAGAGTTCGAGCCCAGGTCAAGCCTCCTCATCTGACTGCTTGTGTGTCTTCCATCACCTTCTCACTTCTTCACTTTAGAATAGCCTTTTCTACCTATAGCAGAAATAACCATAGCAGTGCTGCACATTTTAACTAACCCTCAGCTTGAACTTGGTATGTCGTGTATCTGTTGTTTACAAGATGTGTGTATTTCTGTATTTAAAAGTTGTGTGTGTGTGTGTGTTCTTTCGATGACAGACAGATGGTGGTGTGAAGGGCAGTCTGTTGTGGGTGATGGACCACACTCGCACTCCGTTTGGGAGGAGACTGATGAGGAAGTGGGTGAGCCAGCCCCTCATAGATCCACAGTGAGTTCAGCATACCCCCTGATTTCTGATGAAGTGTGACTGTCAGTGTTGTAGTGATTTGAATTCTTTCACTATTCTTCACTATCATACTACTACAAAATAAGTATGAGCACCAGGAATTTGTCTGCTCTGTGAGGCTATCTGGGTCACACCCCGGTGGTGAGGACACTTTCCTGCCCTGAATTAAGCCTCTCTGCTGTTTCTTATATTGCCTTAAGGTCATCTGGGATGGTAAAGACAGAAAAGATTTACTAACATGTGCATGTGATTAGGTAACTCAGATGGTTGCGTGATTTCAGAGCTGTTCGTGTCCGGATTAAAAAATATTGTGCACTGACAAGATAACATATGTTCTGTTAAATTTAGGAACAGACTTTGCCTGACTCTTTTTTGTTAAATTCTCAGGTACTTCCGCATTATTAAGATGCAATACTGGCACTGTGAAAAAAATACAAGTTTCCCAGATGTAATTATGATGTGGAAGTATATGTGAATGCTATTTACCAATTAGATCCTGACTATTAGGATAATTTTGAAATGAAATAAAGGCAGGATTTCCAAAAAAATTGACTTACTACATGATTTTGTTAAGGTGTGGATTTGAGTTGTTAGTTATGGCCATGTGGTTTTTCAGTCCCAGCACAGCCTGCAGGACTTACACACAGCTTGAGAGAAAGTGCCGCCTCAAAGACGTCACTCTGGGCAAAATGGGACTTAGAGGACCATGTAGCTTGACATACACTTTATTGTCTCAGTGGGACAGAAAGCACAACTGCACAATAACTGCAGTGTTATTATTTAATATGATTGATTAAATACCAAGTGATTAACACAAAAAACAAAAGTCTTTATTTTTGTAATGTACTTAATAATTATGTATGACTTTAATCGCATCAGTTTTGAAGAATAAAGTAGTACGGGGTTAGTGTCTGCTTTGTGACCTGCATGCATGAGTGTCAAGAGGTTACATGACTGTTATAAACATTGTTACTACTTCACATTTTCTGTTTCTCATGTGTGAATTCATATTTTGACTGAAAGTTTCCAACATCACATATAAATAAGTCAGCATCGTTAAAAAGGATGCAATATGTTGTACTTATTGGTGGTGTGTTTGGAGGTGATTGGAGGTGACTAGCGTTATTTTCACCCAACAGAGCAGCTGTTTCTCTTTTCAGAAACACTTCAGGGTGGAAACATAAATAATGTTCTGAAGGAAGTCTCTCTAAATAAAAAAGATGCAACTGACTCAAAGCACTTATGCTACAAAGAACCTCTCTCAGTTATAACATTGCAGTACTGTGCTAGTTCTCTTCTCTGCAGTGTAACGGTATTATCCATATATCGATTGTGTGATTTTATTTATTTTTTTTTTTCTGTGTGTGTGGCTGTCCCTCCCCCACTGTGCAGGGATTACTGCTGTGGATTGGACACAGCTCTCAGATTATACAGATAGCTCTTCTACAGAATTCCAACATGAATAAAACCCAGATTACAGGCAGGCACAATTTCAAGACACAGTACAGCAACATGACACAGACGCTATTGCACATGTGCACACATTCTTTAAGCTTTTTCAGTCTGTTTTTCTTAATAATTATGTTCAGAAATGCTTTGTATTGATGTATTGTCTTGTATACATTTTATAGTAGGTAATAGATGTCAAGTCAGGTGTTTAAAGGTGTTGAAATCTAATTCAACCTCTTAAACTCACAACTTGAGCATTTTTCTTGGGCCCAGTATAAAATGCATTGTAAAAAAGTTCATCATCTTCTTAATATTCTCAGCTTCTACCCTGTCTCCAAAAAGAGAGATCTTGTAAAGTAATAGGGAAACTAGACAGCACTCAGAGAGTACAAACCTCCACCACAGCAGCACAGTTTCCTCATAATTTTATTCCACCTACTGTAAATATTCCCACGATAGTTTTACCTTCTTAATGTGATTATGTGAAAACCGAAAATCTAGCATTTGGAATCACATTAATATAAGTATTTGAACAAAAACAATATTTCAATAATGGCAGTTTTCTCCAGGATCTAGATCTTAACTTTTGAAGATGCATCAGATGTGTTGATCATCTTCTGAATCAGCAGAGTTTCAATTACAGTGTGGTTTTAGTTACAAGTCTGTAGCGTTATCTGTTGTCTCACATGAGCGCTATAAACGTGAACATTCTGGATTGCCACATCCAGAATATTACTTGGATCCAGACCATACTGTGGTGTGTGTGGTAAATCTTATGGGGATGTTGCTGTGCAGTTTTTGTCCAAGCATTGTAGGCACCGTGTATGGTGAAGAATTTCCTGGACCCAGATAATGATCCGGACCATCACCAAAATCTAGTCGATTGTTTCGTGGGCCGTACCCTACCTCTCCAAATAATTTCATCCAAATGCATTCGTTACTTTTTGACTTGTCCTGTGAACAAACCAACAAATGCTGGTAAAAACACAACCTCCTTGGTGGAGGTAAATAAATAAATAAATAAAACAAAGCCCAGACTGATGTAACTGAGTTCAGCAGATAAGACTGCAATCACTCATTTCATAGAGGTTTTGACTGAATCTGAATTTATGCAGAAGCTAATCAGTGGCATTTTGGCAGTTATTTATTCTAAGTTCAAAACACCTTTCTTCTAAACAGTACCTGTCTATCACGACTGATTCAACTCCAAATGACGCATTAATTTTAGTCATGATGGGGAATGCACATTTAGATCTTTCTGACTTGTTTTTATAGTTTCTTTTCCTTCTTCCTTTCTTTCATGAACCCACAGGTCCATCTCAGAGAGGCAGGATGCTGTGCAGGAGCTCTTAGAGTCAGACTCTCTCACTTTAAACTCCATCAGATCCCTGATGTCACATTTGCCCGACCTGGAGAGAGGCATATGCAGCATATACCACAAAAAGGTAAGAAGTAATGAGATGGACAAAAGTCAGAGAAGGCACTGTTGTTGTTGAGCTAGGCTTTTTTTTTTTTTTACCAGTGAGATTTTGATCTTATTCACTGTGTTAAGCTGAGATTTGTGGGCATAGTGACACACTTCAAAACTGCTAGAAACAATGGCCAAAACAAAAAAAAAATTCTGACAGGTGGTAAGTTAACAAACCTCATTTTTCTTGCTGTTTTGCATTAAAATGAAAACCAAGACAATTTTCTCTGTGTGTGTTTCTCTTGTTCTGTTTGTTTTCTTTCCTTTTTTTTTTTTTTTTGCAGCTTCTTGATTAAAACCAGGGAGCAGTCGCCTCAGTGGCACTTACCCGATTGTCTGACAGAATCTCATTTCCCATTGAACTTGTGGTTGAAATGTCAGAAGGCTTCATCTTCATCCCGCCTGTGTGTGTGTGTTGTACCGGGTGCTTGATGTCTTGTTTCATTTATGTACAGCTACACACACATACACAGACAGGGGCCGTAATTTAGCCCATCTAGATGGGCCTGTGTGTAATGGCCTGTGTCGCTGTGGCTCCATTGACATAATGGGAGGGAGGGCGCACTTACGGTCTTTAGTCAGTGTTTGTTTGGGTTCATAAAAGAACAGCTGCTGACATGGAGGGGGGCATTAAAACTGCAGTGTGTGATTAATACCATTAACCACTGTCAGTGCGACTCTCATTGACCTTTCCTGACCAGATACTGTGACATCACTGATGGCAGTATGAAGTCAATATAATCTACAGTATCATCTCTCTTCATTGGTGCTGTATTTCCATGCAGAACATTGATTCATCAATAACTTGATTTAATCTGAAATGATCACCAGTTTTATCACAAAGCAGCAGAACTGATCTTCAGAAAACATGAAGCAGTAGCTATGGGTTTGCTGTGTTTTTTATATTATGGATTGTCAGGAATTGCCAAAAGAGCTGAATGTTATCAGTGACAAGTTCTGAATAAATCCCTTATTTGCATTTACAGTAGATTACATTTGGTCTCATGTGTAATGCAGTAAAGAGGCTGTGGTGGTGATTTGTTTGTTTATTTTTATTATACTGCCATATTGTCAAGACCTGCAGCCAGTGGGCTGCTGATGAGTTTTGTCTCCCAGAGATCGATGAATGCTCTTTAAGTTTGGCGGCAGATAATATTTAGTAATCTAATCTTGCTGGTTTATAGAATTTCCAAGTAACACAACACACCACACACACAAAGAAATAAAGCTTTTTGCTGGAAAACAAGAAGATATTTCTTAATATTGATTTCAAAATGGCAATTATCTTCTGATCAACTGCACCTACCATTACGGTTGAGACGCAATATGTAAGATCCACTGACTTCTCAGCAATTATCGCCTCATCAGATACTCTGCATATCTCTGTGTGTTTGTGTCTGTTCCAGTGTTCCACGCAAGAGTTTTACCTCATTAGTGGCAGTCTTTCTCACCTGGGGCAGGAATTACAGACCTTGTTACCAGCTATCCAGGCACAGATCAGCTCGGCGCTGCTCCGAGGGCTCTTGTTAGACACTCCTGGCCTGCTAGCTCCAGCCCACAGCTTTCTCAAGGTGCTCAATGAAAAGGCAGCTAAGTGAGTATCCCGCAGAATGAAAAGGAATTATTTAGAGGTAAAAGAGGAAGAATGGAGTGTTTTCAATGACCAGCCATATAAAGAAAGTGGATTTTTTATTTTTTTTTATACTGCCGTTGAACAAAGCTTTACATGTGATCGATACTGCTTATTGGCATGTGATGGACTTAAAGGATAAGGCTGGTCATTTCCTATATTAATAGCATTGTCAGACAATGAATTGCTTCTATTTAAAAACAATTAAAAACACATCAGGAAAACACACCGCTGCACTACGTGACATGTTTTTGGAACGAAACCCCGGATCTTAATATGTTTCCCCAAAGTCTCTGTGCGGTCAGAATTTCCTAAAGTTAGTACAAGTCAAAGTCAACTCCACATGCGTGAGATTTTGTGTGAGCTCTCAGCTTTGTTTACATTCCACTAGCTCCTCATGCCCTAGCCCCTCTGGGGTTTGCTGATGAAGAAACGTGTGTTTCACTGATGATGATGATTTTGAACAGCAGCGGGGGGGTCTGAGGCACAGATAAATAAACTGATCCAGGACTGACACACTGAACGTTAACCGAGATTGTTGGTTTTAGTCTCTGTATGGTGTTTGCTGAAAATGCTATTAATATGACCGGTCTTATCCTTTAAGATTCTGTATTGTTAATTACAGCAGAGTATGTTCATATATTTTATCACTTAAATTGCAGGGCAGCACCTAAAGTTGATGTTCGTAGTGGATTTATCTGTTTGTTTGTTTTTAGCTGATGAATTGTTTTCTTCAACCTAAAAGCCAAAGATGTTCAATTTGCAGTGTTATAAAATGGAGAAAAAACAGCAAATCCTCACATTTTAAGAGCCAACATCAGCTAATGATTGGTATTTTAAATGAGAAGTGACTGAAAACTGATTGTCAGAACTAGTTTTTTTGGGGGGGGGGGATTTAATTTGCCTGGTGCACTTTGTGGTGTGATAGTAATGCATTTTCATTATTTCCAAAAATAAGAAAAGAAGAACTTACTGGAGCATTTGTCAAAACTGCCGTACCGTGCACATTTTTGTCATGGACATACTGAGGAGAGAGCCAGAGAGCCACCAGAGACTGGATTTATATTTAAAATGCATAAATCTCTGTTGATGGAGACATTGGTGTCTGTTTGACTTTTCTGCAAAATGACTTAACTCAGTTTGATTGTTGATTTCATTCAGTGTCATTGTTAAATACTGGTAAATTTAGAATTAAATCTTAGACTGGTATCAAGCCTTGATGCTCATATCTAGATTAATGTGGGAATCAGACTAACACACCACAGTAGCACAACACTGGGTTCAGAAATGCAAGAAACAAAGAAAACAAAGCAGTGGGTGATGTTAGATGCCTGCTGTCTCATAATGTCTGATCAACAGCTGGCATGGACTACCAGAGTGAAGGCCTTCCTCCTGACACATGGTTAATGCTTCAGAGAACGTCCTGTATTTTGTCTGTGCTTCTGAGGAAGCATGACTTTGTGGTGTTACATTTTAACAGCAGCTGCCACATTTGGACTGTGTCTGCAGGTTGGGGAATAAGACAGAGCTCTTCTCAGACCTGTCTGGTTTCCCAGTGCTGCAGGAAAGGAGGGAGCAGATCCAAACGGTCCTTAATGAGATTCAAGACCACCGCAAAGAAATCCGACTGGCGCTGAAGGCCCCCACACTGGACTACATGGCTGTTTCTGGGCAGGAGGTACTGTCTGTGTGTGTTCGAGGCTGAGAGTGAAAGACGGGTGGGAGGAGATAGATGGCCTGATTAGGGTGGAAGACTGAGTCACACTAACGATCTGATTTCTTTCTGCGTGCGTCTGTTTTAATCACAAGTGACACATTGTTCTGTCTACTCGAGTTTTATTTATCACAGTCTTCCTCCTCCTCTTCGTCCTGTGCCCTCAGTTTCTGATTGAGGTGAAAAACGCTCTATCATCCATTGTTCCACCTGACTGGGTCAAAATCAGCTGGTGAGTTCACAGCTGCAGCACACTCACACACACTCATAGCAGAGATAAACACACACATAGTCGCTAACACTTTTATCCATTTTCTAAAATGATATGACAGTGACTGTTGTTTTAAAATAATTTTTAATATCACCTCTGAACTCAATAACATGCTGTCTGACTTTGAATTATTTTTAAAGAAATGATTGCATATCTCTGAGGAAATTGATTTTTGCTGCTAAATGGTGTCATAGTGTAATGGTATCCAGTGACATAGTAATGAGTCCTAAAACCTGGAACTTGTTAATGTGCAGCTGCTGAGAAGTGGCTAACTGAGACTACAGACATTACACGTCATCCCGCTAATCACGGACACTAATCTACTCACTAGCCCGCCTTTACTGCCTCGTTATTTTTAAACTTGTGAACTTGCAAACTAACTGACACAGCCATGGTCACTAGCTAGATCAGGTCATGCTAAGAGGAAAGGGGTTTGTGCTAAATCAAATTACAAAGCTGGAAGCCGTAGTGGTGACGCTGAAATCATGAGACCTTTGTGTAGTTTGTTTATAGCCTAACAATAGCTTTTTACTTCTGGCGATTGTATTTAGGCTTCAGAAATCATAAAGGTGGTGTTCACTTGTGAAGACTATCTTGCTGAACACAACACTTATTTTCTGCAATAATCCAAAAGCCTACAGAAAAATTCCATTGGCTTTTCGTTGAGGGAACCAGGGTGATGCTAACCTCCAAGTCGGCCTGTGATATTACCTGATGAGTAAGAACCCAGATATCTAAAGAGTCTAAAACTTTGCACCATAGTGTGTGTTTATTTCTACAACAACCTGAAACTCAGCAGCACAGGCAGTTGAAGCTAAACAGTAACACAACTATACTACCACGCAAATGATCAAAATGCAACAGCAGGTTTTTTTTTCAAGTGACCATGGTGACATTACAACATACCACACAGGGTTACTGTCACTCTGAATGCAGCCTAAGTGCACTGATCACTTTGAGATGTCTTTGTTAAAGCAGGACAGTTTATTCATTCACTTATGTAGCTTTAAACCATATGATTGGTTCCATCACCAAATTACTTGGTAGTGTATTTGTTTTTACACCATTATATTGTTCCCATCCCAAGGGTTGTGATTCCCACTTAGTAGTTTCATTCCTCACTTTAATGCATTCTTTGCTCTGCTTCCTCCACCTCACCTCTTTCCCACTTCTTCCATGCAGTACCAAGGCAGTCAGCAGGTTTCACACTCCTTTCCTGGTGGAGCGCTATAAGAAACTGCTGCAGCTCCGAGAGCAGCTGCTGCTGGACTGCCAGAGGGAGTGGACCAATTTTCTGGAGTATGATAGACACAGTCATCCACACACATCTGATCATAAACTCAAATGAAAAACTGCTAACAACATGTCAGTGTCTGGTTTGGAGAGATGCCTCCACAGCCAGAATTAGTCTCTCGTCATCCAGTCAGTGCCGTCAATGCCATCTACTCGGAACACAGTAGGCACTTACCTTAATTTACACTTGAAAATCTCTTTCCTGTCTATCTCTCTCGTTGTAGTCACTTTGGGGAGCACTACCACACCATGAAAAGGGCTGTTAGTCACCTAGCAACCATGGACTGTCTCTTTTCATTGGCTGAGGTGGCTAAACAAGGGAACTATTGCAGGTGACGTCCTCTCCTGATGACTGTAAATATTAGTTTGTATGTGTGAGAGAGAGAGGGAGTGTGTGTGTGTGCACACCTGTTATTACTCACATCGTGGGGACAGAAACCTGTTCACACACTCACACTGTGAGGACTCGGTCTTCCTCATGGTGGTGCTCAGCCTGTAAATCGCTGAATTTCAGAGTGAACATTTGGTTTGAGGTTAAAGTCAAGGTAAGAGTTAGGGTTAGGCAAGTAGTGGTAATAGTGAAAATGATGGTAAGTCTCTAGGAAATGAATGTAAGCCAATGTAAAGTCCCCATGAGGAATGGAAAAAAATGTGTGTGTGTGTGTGTGTGTGTGTGTGTGTGTGTGTGTGTGTGTGTGTTGTTGTTGCCACTACAGTGTGTGTGGGTGGCCTGTGTCGTGTCCTACAGTCTCAGACAGGCTGTGTGTGGGAGTATGCAATGGGCTCAGCAGCGCGCTCAGCCAGAACGCCAACATCTCTCCCACTCACACACACACACACACACCTTTCTCTTGCCCGTTTGTGCACGTTTGAGGGTTTTAGCTTTACATCTATCCATGTCTTATCCACGTTTTTGCAGTATTTGGGCATTTTATGCATCCTTCTCACCTTTTAGAGTATTTTAGAAGAGCATGACTGATACATCAGCAGGCCTATTTGTTACTGGCCAATACTGGGTTAAAGTTGTTTATCACATCAGTGTGTGTTTTGGAAGATGTATAGAAAAAGAAAGATAAATGTTTAATTGGCAGTTTTTTTACTTTATTTTTCTCAGTTCAAGTGCTTTTTCTATTTAGTTTTATTCATCATTTAAAATCATTTACATTTCACTTGTGTTAGATGTCCAGTGTTGCTGTAGTGTCACTGCCTTCTTTGATAGTAGGGTGTTGTGTTTATGTAAAATATCTTACCTAAGTCTGTACCTGGAAATGTTTGTTTAAATGATGCACATTTCTGGCATGAAATACAAGTTGATATGTTTTTACCCAGTTTTATTCTTTGCGTTTATTTTTAAGTATCTGCATCATCTTTAGAGGCTCATTATTGCTCAGATGCTCATAGTAAAGCAGTAAGGGGACAATGGAAGGAACGTACAATGCACAGTGTTATGGTGGGATTTAGTTTTAGGGGACCCACTGTCAGTTTTAATATTGCTTCCATCTTTAGACACATATGCATATGTGAGTGGTTTATCATTTGATTGCAACTAACTGATGTGTTGTTTGTGTTCAGACCAGAGGTGTGTGAAAGTCGGTGTCAGATCATGATCAGGGATGGCAGACATCCTGCCATCGACTTACTAATGGGCGAGCACAACCAGTATGTGCCCAATCACACTGAATTACAGGTACACATACACACACACTCACACTCAAAAGCTAATTCAGAGAGCCTTGAAACAAACTGGAGTCCAAACACACACAGGCTAACTCACTGAGTTGGTTCTGAAGCAACAAGCCCCACCACAGACACACACTTCCTTGCTCGGTGCTGGAGTGGGTGTGGGTTAATGTTGCAGCAAAAGTACAAGCCAATAGGCAAGCCGAGCTTTTAGTCCACCCGCCTCCTCAGCTGTGCAGGACAGCATGAAAAACTATTATTCTGTCCTTGTTTGCCTTCTGTCCATGTCCCTATTATTCTTCTCTCCTTTCTCTGCAAAAGGGTGATGGCCGTAGAACTATGATAATCACTGGTCCTAATATGGGGGGTAAGAGCTCCTACATCCGACAGGTGGCCCTGATCTGTGTTATGGCTCAGATGGGGTCCTATGTTCCAGCCTCTGAGGCCCGTCTGGGCATTATGGATGGCATTTACATCAGGTACGAGCACAAGCACGCCTGAAATCTGCCTCCACGTTTGTTACGTGTTTGACAGTTTGAAAAGTAATATAATTAATTAAAGTTAATGCATAGTCACCACAATTAATGTCTGATTTCTTTTCTCCTGTTTTTAATTGTATTTGCACCTTGAAACATGTTGAGACTGATCTGTTCTGATCTTAATGTTATCACATTACTGATGATCTACTGTTGCTACATAGTTAATATGATTTGTTAGATGTACAACAACACCAAAGACAATCTGCAACACCTGTTGTAAACATTCAGCACAAAATTTCTGTCCAGAATGTTTTGCATAGATAATCAACAGACCGCACTGTGACCAGTCAGAATCAACTGTGTGTGCGTGAGATTTTGTGCGACCTCTCAGCTTTGTTTACCTTACATTAACTGCTTACACTCAGGTCTGGTGTTTGCTAATGAAGAAATATGTCAGCCAGGACAGCGGTGTGTTTCACTGATGTTTTTAATTGTTTTGGAATAACAATGGAGGTCTATCGTACAGTCAAAGAAGCTAATCCAGGACTGACACACAGATGGTTTGTTCTCCTGGCCGGCATATTAAAGATGAGACGTCCATAAAGACTGACACATTCACACCAGTATACTTAATGCCTAACCACTGGCAGTAGCTCGGGAGGGAGCCTTTTAACTGTAGGGACAGTGGTTCGATCCCTGGTTTCCACATCTCGAAGTGTCTTTGACCACGACACTGAACCCCTAGTTGCTCATGGTGAGGTCACTGGTGTGTGAATGTGTGACTGGGAAACAGTGTAAAGTGCTTTGAGTGCACATCAATGTGTAGAAAAGCACTACTGTATATAAGACCATTTACATACACCTTTATGCCTTATACCTAGTAAATATTCAGTATATACACCTAGGTCATCATATAAAAGTGATACAACAATGTCATTACAAGCTACAGTATGGTGCTTCTCTCCTTGTTTTGATTGGCAGACACACTCATCAACCACATGAGTGACTTTTTCTAGCTTCGTCCCTCATTGACAGGAAGATGACAATGGTGACCAAGTCCAACATGCTTTTATTAGTTCAATTATACATAAGAGCACTGGTGAATCTACTGTGGAGATAACCCGAGCTCATCCGCCTTGTGTCACCTTCATCATCTGTGACACGGTTGACTTTATTTTTAGGACTGACGCTCAGACTAATCACGTCTAATCCCACCTTGTTCCTTACCACACAAGGAGATGTGTGATGAAGGAAAACAAGATGAACATGAGTTGTTTGACAAGCCTGGGTTTATTGTTATGTCATGGTTCACCAAGCTAGGCTCAGTGTGTCGCAGGAACCCTCAGACAATAAGGCTTTGTTGGTGAAGGACTTTTTGCCCATGGATGATTGTTCTGATTGTGTGTAATTGTTTTTATTTTGGGGGGTGGGGGGGTTCAAGCTCGTTCTTATCTATTAACCCAAACTCCTCACAGAAAGGCCCCGGGTCAGTCCAGGCTTAAATGCGGAACCTTCTTGCTGTGAGGCGACCTCACTAAACACCACGCCACTGTGCCATGCCTGTATGTAAGATCCTGAGGAAAATTTGTTTTGATAATAAACTCTCTGAGCATCAGTCGGGTCCCACTGCTACATCAAGCGTAACAGACACAACAGTGGGAACTGCTTCATCGTGTGTGAGCAGGATGTTGTGTGTTTATGAACAAAAGGGAGACAGACATGAAATGAGAGCTTTTACTAGACTGGAATAAGCAGAGTTTGGGGGATGGGGGTAATGAGATGGTTTGTAGGTGTCTAATGGGATATCCTGTCTGGACTGTTCCAGATGATTGATTATCAGTGCGGCTACAGTGGCTAATCTGGAGATTGGTTTAAAGCTGTGTGCGGCCTCATAGAGTCTTGGTTTCATGCCTACTCCACTATACTATAGCATTTTACAAATTTGCCTTATAGGGGTTTAAGCATAGTTGTTTGAGTTTGTTCCTTCATTCCTTACAGACTTCAGCAGTGTACACTATCAGCCTGGCGACTGACAGATGTGTACTGACTGTGCACATATGCAGCTGCTGTGTGTGTTTTCCTGTTGATATTGTGTCCTGAAGGTTATACAGCACATTTTCCCAACCCCTTGTCGTTGCTATGGAAACAGAAAAAAGGAAGCAGAATGTAAAGCTGTCTTTTGAAAGGGACTTTTAATCGACCATGGACTCCTAGCAGTGATTATAGCGTGCTTTATTAATGTCTTTCACTGGGGGGGCTTATGATTGGTGGTTAATATTCAGAAGGGCCTCACAAACTGAGGTGAGTGTTTTGGTGCCAACATCATCACCCAGGTGGGTGTTGTCGAGCATGGGGAGAAATGCTGTATCCTAAATCGACTCGTTTGTTTCCTCTGAGTTTTTATAGTCAGAGTGTTTGTGCCACCATGTAGGCGGCATGCAGAGCTGGTTATATAGGGTGTGTAAGATTAAATCAAATAGCCTGGAGTTACCTTTGCAGAAATCCAGGTACATGATTCACAGTGGTTGGACAAGTCTGAGGAGAACCCAGAATAATTTGACTGTTTGATTAGGTAAGGCCACAAGTTAATGTGCGTACACGGACTTTCTTGCTGTAAACTATTTTTGCAACATTTAAACGTCAGTATGCTCAATAGGACAGAAAGCAATACAGTAGGTTGAAGGGGAGGGAGTATCTAATATCAAAGAAGGTAAATTGAATCCAGAATCAAGTGAACCATAGACTGACACACAGTCCAGCTCCGTTGGAGTCTAGATTTTTTTTCCTTCAAGCTTTTTAGGACATTCACTGTCATTGAAAAAGCAATAAAAAAAAAAAATCCAGTCCACACCACCTTTGGGTATCAGTTTGTCAGTCTGAAAATAAATTTTTATCTCCACCAACAGCAGGGGTTATGTTTCTGCCGGCATGTGTTGGTTCGTTTGTGTTAACAGCATAACTCAAAAAGTATTGAATGGATTTTGATGACATTTTATGGAGGTAGAGTATTTTGGAGTTGAGTATATTTTGGAGCTGATCACTGATTTATTATTTTAATTTCTATTTTATGGTGTTGGTTTACCTTTTTACACTATTGAATCCCATTTTTCACCAAACTACATTATGAACTGTGGGGAATTCCCTCAAATAAAGTCTATGGAAATGCCGACTTCTGTAAAGTGAGCATGAATGGCTCAAAATGAAGGGGAGAGAGCCCTCATGCACTTGGGACAGTTCTCGGGCCCTGACTAACTCCACGGGAATGCACCTCAAAGTCCATGAGTCTGTGAGTTTGTACACTGGGATTGTGCCTAAATGCTTTTATGGCATTATGGGAACCTGAGTTGCCCCTTGCAGCATGCTTACACTCTCTGAGTACTGTCTAGTTTACTTTGGAAATTGTGTTACAGGGTCATTATTGTAATAGCCATGTGATTTTCTTTTTGAGTTTGGCTTTGTGGTTGTGCTTGGCTTTTGAGTCTCTCCCCTGAAAGCCAAATGAGTGATATTGCTGTGTTCAGAATGTAAAAGCAGCCTTTCCATCACTCAAAACTATGAGCGATATGGTGATATAATAAAGTGAAAGTAAAGAAGGATCCACAAGTGTCAGATAAACACTTGAAATGTGGGTAAACGTTTTCTGGAGAGGTGTGAGGTGATGATAAATGGAGTCTATTTTCAGAATCAGTTTGTTTGGCAGGAAGGAGAGGCTCAATGAGAGCAGCAGGACACCCAGCTGGTGGAGTTTCTGTCATACATCCCCTCATCAATGGACGGACAGTGTGTGAACAGCACGCTTTATTTTCATCTAATTCTATCGGTCTTTTCTTATAAATCCCAGAGCCTTAGGCATGCATGTATGCACACACTATAAACTGGTTAATGAAATGCAGCAGCATAACTGCCTTACCCCTTCCCTATACGGCGTGTGGTGTTACCATGGTAACTTGTGGTTCATTGATAGGCACTATGTTGAAAGTCAATCAGGAAAGGAAAAAGGAAAGGAACAGATTTAGAGGCGAGAAACACTGACTGGCAAGGAGATGTGGCATCTGTGATCCAGCTGGAGTTTTTATCAAATAAATTACTGTTCTGTCTGTCAGTCTGCACCTGTGCCTCGAAGGAGCTGAGGCTGGCTTTGAGGCTTGTGAAGAATTCAGTTTGTTGTCATAGTGTCTTTAGAATTGGTATATATTTTTGACATGGACTTGAGACATAACACCAGCATTGTTCAAGGTAGTCTCGTTCCCCTGTTTGTGGTTTTCCGTCACTGACCATAAATTGTGCCTCATCATCAACCATAATTTTACTTAAAATGTGTTTGGCAGTACATTCATTAAATGGCACAGTAGTAAATTTATTTAACGTGGTGTTTCTCATTACTCATTTGGCCTCACACAGGAACATTTTTGTATTCTCATCCTAAACCTCTCATGACATATGATGGCGTTCTCTATATAAGCCATGTAATGCTTCCTGTTTCCCTCTGTTTGTGAGAAAGGTTTGTTCACAAAAATGTTACCAAAGCATAAGAAGGAGAACACGGTGATATTAGAAGCCTGGAAACTGTAATATTGGTAGTTCAGCTGCCAACAAAGTGTCATCAGAACAGCACTGTACTGTGACAGATGCTGTGTACAGTGAGTGAAGCATTTAACATAAGGTTAGATGCAGTAATGCTTTAATAAGTCAAAGTGGGCCATGACTAATGAGAGGTTGTCAAAGAGAATACTACAGTCACTGAGTTATTAAAAGGAATGATATTATAGCCTATAGTAATGTGTTATTATTGTTCTAATGTATAAATTGTTCTTTCTGTAAATACCAGACTCGGTTAGTAAATCAAAAGTAAATTGACAAACCATGATAATGATAAGGTGAAGAGAATATTAATTTTGCAATAATTTTGTCTTGGTTATACTGTATATCTTATTTTAAACTGGTTATGAAACTCAAGTAAACTTGAGTTTTATTTCTAAGAGAAAATTATAAGTATGAGAAAATTGATAAAAGCCACAAATCCTGCTTTATCCTGTTTTATCACTTCTACGTGCCACAGAAGAGCAAACCTCAATGTATGAGGGCTTCTTGCATGAGGCATTGATTTTTCCATATCCCACAATTTTGGGATGAGCTGGAACTTTGACTGAAAGCCAGACTGTACAGTAATGCTCTTGTGGCCGAATGGGAGCAAATCCCTGTAGCCAGATTCAGATTTTTTGCAAAGCCTTCTCACAAGAGAACAGGGTGATACAGCAGCGTTCAAGTGTGTGTTTATGAAGTGTTCAAGGTTTTGGAATTAACGGTTCAACAGTCACATATGAGGTCCCACTAGCAGAGAGGTTTCAGCTTAGCAGCACATACAGAGTGCTGATTTGAATCCAACCACTGACCTTTGTAGCACGTCTCCCCTCTTTATAACTTTGCCTCTCACGTCTCCTGTATAGCGGTCTGCGACTCACTGAATAGCAAAGACAAAATTGCCCCAAAAACTACTAAAACAAAGCAATTTAATTTTTTACTGTCCACACACTTTTGATTATATTATTAATCAAATAAACAAAACCTGGCCACACACCAGAGTATAGATTGTTAGTATTGATGACCAAAATGCTAAAGGTTCATACGTGTAACTTTTGTAAGTCTGTATCTGTTTTTAGTTTGTGAGATTTCCGGTCACTGAATGGAAATAGTGGCATGGTGAATAAATAGATGGTGTTTTAACTTTTTCTTTCATATTTTTTGGGCTATATGAGTGTTGAAGAAATGTTGAACATGTTTAAATTGTAAGTAATTCTCCTAGAAGAAAACCTTGAAGAGCAGCTTCACTGCCAGAGTCTTTGTCTGTGACTGGTTTGGGGATTTTTGGAAGTACAACAGCAGAGTGTGAATTTACTGAGTCGCATCATCCTTGAGAACATACCCGAACATGACAGATGTGGAGTGTCAGGAATGAAAATTAGCACTGGGATACAACGGTTCCTCGTTGTCTCTCATGTAGTATGACATTGTGCAAGATATCCATCGCAGTATCTGAGACGCTTCACAAACAAAAAGACTAGTATGTCAGGATTTTTTTTTTTTACTTTTCTCACCAAGTTTAACTTTTACCATGTGTTTTGTAACGTTGACCCATATGAGTAGAGAGCTTTTTCCATGTACAATTGTAAACATGATGAGGTGAAAGAGGAATGATTAATTTCGGTGAACCTGTAAGCACTTGACTTTCACCCTCAGGTAACAAGTTAATCACACCTCTGGGTGTGATGTCACCCTCCGCAGACAATTGGAAAGTATGCTGCACACCCACATGGGTGAAAAGACAGGCCACACTGTTACTGCAGAGTGACAATCAATGGTTCCATGTGCACTTTATTTAATAATATCATAAACATTTATTGTGGGCACTTCACTGATCACCTTATTGTACCATGTATATAGCAAAAATGGCAGTATGATTGCATAAAAAAAACAATCTGATCTCAGCAGAACTCCCTTTTCATTTCATCTTGACCTCTTGGCCTCTTCTTCTTTTTTTTCCTGACTGGGTATCAGGATGGGGGCTTCAGACAACATCTACAAAGGGCGTAGTACGTTCATGGAGGAGTTGACGGAGGCCTCAGAAATCATTTCCCGTGCAACTGAACGCTCACTGGTCATCCTTGATGAACTGGGACGGGGCACGAGCACCCATGACGGGATTGCCATTGCCTATGCAACTCTGGAGTACTTCATCAGCAATGTAAGTGTGTGTTTTTGTCTGTTAGTGAATGGACATTCTCTGCTGATAACATGGGAATAAGAGGGATTTAAATATTTAAAGAGTAAAATCAAAGGTTGAGTAATGATATTGAAGCTGCTGATTGGATGTTTGGGGGAGGGAACTGTTAGCTTTTATGCTGAAATACCAAATAGCATGAAATAGAAACGTCATTTCATCTTGTTGCATTGTGGGGTTTTGAAGCCAGGCCAACTAACAACCAAGGTACAGTAATAGCTTTGAGTAAAGAAGTGTGTATATGTGTGTGCATGCAAGTGTTTGATTGAATGTGCTTTGCAAAATGTTGATAGTTTATTTTGCAGAAAGACGGGCCACCAGAGAGGCCTCAGCAGCAGAGCAGCTCTTGAAAATTGAACAGAATTGTGGAGAAGCTTCATCTGTAAAGTTAAGATGCTGTTAAACAGCAGGATGCAGTGGAAAAGGAAAGAAAAAGAGAAATGTGGCCCTTTGATACCGAATTGTTGAAGGGGTGTATCATATGTTATACTACAGCAGGCCTCATTTTATCCTAATGCAACACCCACATAATCGAGGCTGATGATAGGATGTCCAGTGTCCACCTTTGCACTTAGAAGGGGCTCATATGTGTCTGTATCTGCCTTGTCACCACTTTTTAATGCCGTGTTTACTGCTTATTCTAGTCAGTTGTATTTAAAGGATGTGTGCTGAAAGCAGAAAGGTCCAGGATACAATATGTGGGGCTTTTCAACTTGGAGTACTGGGAATTAGTATCCTTATGATAGACTGTGTGTATGTGTGTGTGTGTGTGTGATCCGCAGGGATTATGTGAACTGGCACAGCCAGGATCCCTTTGGGTGTTGCACAGTGTTGCATAGCTCCATTTTGACAGAGCAGATGAGCGGTACGCTGCAAGGGAGAAAGAAGGTGTTTGTGTTGGTAAAGGGGGTTATCAGCATTGACAGTACTGCAGGTTAATTGTTTTTTCTTTGCTGAAATGCACATAACACACTCAGCTGTACAATGTAGTCTAAAGAAGCACTCCTTTCTCTTTAAATGTTTTCTGATTAGCATATCATATTAGATATTTGCCCTTTGGATCTGGCATTGTACCTCTATTTTAGATATTGTTTCAAATACATAAAATGGTGTGAATGCACTTTAATGAACGTATTTTAAATGTGACAACCTGTTGATTGTGTGGGAGAATATCTGTGGACTGGAGCACGATGTTTACAATTAATAATAATAAACATCATTTATATAGCACTTTACAACTCAGAAGGGCCCAAAGTGCTGCACAGTATAGACATATCTATCAACTAAAACAATACTAAACAGTCAACAAGATATTCATAGAACATAAAACAACATGTAGACAATGCCATTTAGAGGCAGATAAAACAGATTAAAGATCAAAAGCCTGTTTAAAAAGGTGCGTTTTTAATGTGGGTTTAAAAACCGATAGCTCGGTGATAGACCGAATCTCAAGCGGTAGCGAGTTCCAGAGTCTGGGGCCATAAACAATAAATGCACGGTCACCCCATTTTTTGGATCGGGACCATGGAACCACTAGGGACAAGTTATTAGAAGAGCGCAGGGCTCTACGAGGAACATAGATAAAAGTACAGACAGGTCAAGTGGAGCAAGGCCGTGTAAGGCTTTGAACACAAATAAAAGAATCTTAAACTCAACTCTAAAATGTACAGGCAGCCAGTGTAATGTGAGAAGAACAGGACTAATATGGGCATACCTGGGAGTGTTGGACAGAAGCCGAGCTGCTGCATTTTGGATCAGTTGAAGTTTCCTCAGCAACGACTGAGGTATACCAACATACAGGGCATTACAGTAGTCTAATCGCGAAGTAACAAAAGCATGAATCGCCTTTTCTAAGTTTCCTCAGGATAAGAAAGGCTTAACCTTTGTTAAAAGTCTGAGGTGAAAGAAACTGGTCTTGACAACGGCTCTGATCTGCTTATCAAAATTAAAACCAGTATGAAATATCACTCCCAGGTTTTTTACCACGTCTGTGAGTGCAGGGGCAGGGGCACGTAAACTGGACACACGTGTGGCTGGATCGGGGCTGATAAAGATATATTCTTAAATGAAGAAAATTCTGGGCAGGCCAATTCTTGATATCCTGAATACAGTCATACAGTGGAGTAAGCACATTTGGGTCAGATAATACCAGTAACATGTAAATCTGAATGTCATCCACGTAAAAATGAAAATAAACATTATGCCTGGATATAATTGACGCCAACGGTGACATATATAAAGAGAAAAGTAAATGTGCCAGGGTCGACCCTTGTGGGATGCCAGAGGTAAGATAGGCTGTATCAGAGGAAAAATCATCAATAATGACAGAAAAGGTTCTATTTTTCAAGAAAGAACTAAACCAGTTTAGAACCATGCCCCTCAACCCAACAAGGTGTTCCAGTGTAGATAATAAAACTGCATGATCGACAGTGTTAAATGCTGCCGATAAATCTAGTAAAGCTTAAAATAACGGGGCGCTTGGCATCAAGAGCCATGGCAATGTCATTATGGACCCTCAGCAAAGCAGACTCTGTACTATGGCGGGACTTAAAACCTGACTGAAATTTGTCCACAATGTCCAAACAATCTAGATGAGACTGCAGCTGAGTAAGAACCACTTTTTCCATTACTTTAGATAAAAAAGGTAGTAAAGAAATTGGGCGGAAGTTAGACGGATCGGCTGGATCAAGGTTAGATTTCTTAAGAAGAGGTCTCACTACGGCATGTTTGAATTGAACAAGTAACTTTATTGTTAAAGATGACAGCAGCAAATATACAAGACAGATACACCCAGGATGCACTACCTGCCAAGCACAAAACAGCACACAGAGTTAGCAACCAGCAGGTGAACATTATGAAGCATTTAGATTAGCAGTACAAGAGCCAGATATTCTTTTCATGGGTTTGTGAAGACCAGAACAGATCCATATACTAGACACAAATACTAGACAGTATGACTACAAATATCCATATCAGCATCATAAGGTGATGTCAGATATTCAGCTTGTTGTAATGTAGCCATAAAAAAATCACTTAATGCAGCTTTTAAATTTGACTTATGAAATGTGTGTCTCTATTTGCACATCTGCCAGGATGCCTGGCTTCAAATAATATTGACTTATAATAACAGTCAAGAGCTACTTTTGACTGCAAGACATAGAAGGCAAAAACTAACACTATAGTACAAGCGGTACAGAGGTCTTGTGCTTGAAACAGATGGGTGGTGTGGATGTGGTATTAGTGCCCTCCAGGCTCTGGCTTCTCTGGGGAAAAAGGATGTATCAGTTTGGATGGTCTGCATTGATCTTAGGGAGCACATATTTAATCTTGAACTTGAGGAACTTGGTTTTGCTGGCTATTGTGTGTAAAAATAACCACCAGCTCTGTAGCTGAGAGTCAGTGGATTGCACCCCAGGGTGCTACTCTGTCCACAGTGAAAGATACCAGTGATGGTTTTCTGCAGTTTTACCATTACAGAGCTTTCTGCTGTTGCCTTCTGGGCAATCAGAGGTCACAGGCTGTGTGCGGTCTATGTGGGATTTTGGCATTTATTTATTTATTTTTTTCAAAGACCTTAGTCAAAAAGATGTCCCTGTTCAAATATTCTTTGACAACCTCCTTCCAGTTTTCATGTTTTGCCAGTTCCACATTCATCTTTGGACAGCATCTTGGGATTATACAATCCTGCTGGAAAGTCTAGAATGGAAATGTGTAAATAGCAGCTAGTGCAGCACAGAGCTGCTGTTGGCAGGAGGAGGAAGCTCTCTAACTACCTGTTGTGTAACAGCATTGATTTGCTAGAAAAGCCTTGCTGCTACAGGAAAGACAAATAAAAGAAGTTATGCCTCCTTGGTACTGGCAGACCTGCACAGTCTTTCACTCCTCTTCCTCCTACACTTCATACTCATCCTCCTCCTCACTGGGCTCGGCTCTTCACGTCAAAAGCCAGACTACTCCTGCTGTGGCTTGGTTGTTATAGTAACACACCTTTTCCTGTCCCTGACGCTCACCTGAGAAGTAGTTAAGAATGTAGATGGGTTTCATAACACCACTCAAAGAGTCAGCCTTGATGCAGAAGGAAACAAAGGAACATGAAAGCAGAGGAAAGAGGATCTCTGAAACTAGGAGCTGCTTCTGCTAGAAGTTGAGAGGTTTTGTGGTGAAATCATGACCAGCGATGAGGTTGGTTCAATATTAATCTAATTTAATTCCCTTGTAGCTGTGATGTGTGAGGTACCTCATACTGCCCAGGACTCAGCTGGGCTCTTATGTTTATTCATGCTAACAGCTGGTCCTGTCACTAACTAAAAAGACTCAGACTTACATGTTACTGTATAAGTATGGTAATACTGCACTGTAGTAGTAGAGAGAATCAGCCCCTGCTCACTAAAGCTCACTTTTGGCTGCACACTAATGAACACATTTCCAGTCGAATGTATTGTTCCATGTGGGCGTAAACGGTCTGATGTGCTCATGGTAATGCGCAAAGCTCCTACCAAGACCCACTTGTGCTCCACTGCACTCTGCACTGCGCTGTGCCTGCCCTGCACTCATGCACATGGTTACGGTGCTGCTCTGTTTTTCTCCCAGCTCACTGTGATTGCATTCCTTGTTGCAAATTTGCAAGTTTTGACTGTATGACCGTTGATGAGGGGTCACAAGTAGAGACTGCTTCTTGGGGTTTAAGGGGTTCACAAGCCAAAAAGTTTGGACCTGCTGATTTACAGTCATAAGTTGTCCTAGTGCTGAATACCTTTTAGAAAGTTGAAGTTAGATTGAAACCAACACATAAGTTTAGTATAACTCAAATATCCCTGCACATTTTAATGTTACAGACTGAACTTAATAAGGTCCACTTAACCCTGGTGACCCCATGGGGGAAGTTTTCATTGTTGGTGGCTTATTTGTTCATTTATCTACATTATGTGGCAGGATGAGGTTGTTATAGTGGTTATAGGAAGTGG